AACTGAGTGCTCCTTGTACTTTAATGTTGCATTACGTATGGCTGTTATTCACTAACATGCCAGAATCTCCACCCGAAGAAGATCTGGCTTATGGGCTGAACAATTTAATGTTTTGGTTCTACCGTAAACATTGGATTATTTTTGCATTGGAATATTGTTCTAAAGCTAATTTTCATAATTAGTCAGCTTGTTAAAAATGCTGAAGATATCAAGATCGAGATTTGGTGCTGTAATCTGTTGGAGGTTCAAAACAAGATGTGCTGGAGGTATTTATATCTTCGAAGCCGAAAATCTGTAAAAGAAGTGAAATGTTGGACTAACATTATATAGAAGTAGACGTGAAAGAATTTCGATTCAACTTTTAACGTTAGTTTTCATATTTAAGTTCCTGAATTCAGCTGTCATTTTGCAATTTACTTACACTCCGATAAACGGTTTTTCCTTGTCTCGTTTTAGTCACGGAAAGCGGTCAACAACAAAAGTAAAAGGTTGAGCGACGATGTGAAGTAGGTATGGTAAACCGTAATAAAGCCGCTCCATCGATGGAAATGACACAGACTCAACCTAGACGAAGAGAAGGTTACCGTTTTCACAAAACCTCATGAAAGCCATGACGAAAGCTGTACGTATCTCGGTAGCTCGTGTTCAATAACAACAAATGATCTGAACAAGACTTGATCAGTGAAAATTTATTATTCGAATAAGATCAGATCTTATTTTTAACGTAGATTTAAAATGGCGAAATCTGTCTACGTAATAATTGATGTGAAAAAAATTGCTGTAACCATTAACAATATATATATTGTATATTTGCAATACTGACAATTTAACGTATGAAAGAACAGGAAGTTCGTAGAGTTCAGACACTTGATTGCAACTCCTTGAGCGAATAATTAACTTAAGTGTAAGGTGGGGCGTGCAAAATTCGCCGCCCGTTTAGCGAATGATCGAAAGCAGTAATTTGAAGGAAAAGAATTGCGGGTCGACTGCGATAAGATGATTGCTTTATCGATCAGTGCTGCTCTTTATAGAGCGTTGGGTGCAGAATCAAGCGGGTTTCCCCTTTCTTTATTTTGAGGCTAATTATGCGTTCCGCTCATGAGAATTTAGAAGGGGACTGTTGCAATATATTGGTCATAAAACCTTAATGAAGACAATGTGGCAAGGAAATGGAGCCTTACTGTCGTACTATAGGTTAGGTGAAAAGAAGTGTCCCAAAAAGATGCTTCGTTACGCCAGACATTGTACCTTTCACCCGGTTTATCCAGTAGTTGTTAAATCGTCGCATCCCCTAGCATTTCCGTCGTGTCCGTGACTTTCGCAAGAATCCTTTCTGTTACGCAGCTAACCGACGTCTTGACGTTGTTTCGCAATTCAATGCTTGAAGACGCGTTTTGCCGCATTGTCTCATCACCGAAACGACGAGGTAATCAAGAGATAGAGTATCCGTTTCTAAGTTTGGATAGCAACTTCTCAACTACGGCGTAATAACGTTGTGTAGTTTTGCATCGCTCTCAATGGGACATTATTATCGATATTAAAATGTCGTTGCTTGCATTGCCGTAATATGATGAAAATCTCGCTTTCATATTCTCTTCAGTTGGTGCAGACATGTCTGTCTGTAAGGCAGTAAATTGACTTGGCAATCTATTGGATGTTGCAAAAATTACGACCAACTGCGTTTATTTTCGCAGTTTGCCATGCCAGTCATGCGTTTGCGATTTATGGTAGGCAGCATCTTTGCCACTACGTCTGAATTTTTCGACTTGCTTTTCTTCCGCTGCGGGTCGGTCACATCGCGAATTATGGTGTTGATCACCCATTTGTATCATATTGCGCGACCAACGTTTTATCATATTTAATATCATCGTGATGATTGCGAGATGCGACTTCAGAAGACAAAATTGCGCCAGATGCATGGATGTCAAGTCAGCGCGAAATCTGGTTTTGGGGGAGTCACGCATTATAAAAAGTATAATCAAAAAAAATATATTTGTTCCTTCACTATCTTTGTGATGTAATTTAATGTCCTTGCTCATTGCCCAGTATTCTCCCTATTAGAACCGTTCAATCATTTTCATCTCACCAAGCTGATACTGACACCGATTTGCTGTATATTTTGCTGCAGTATGTTGTCAGCTTACCCTTTGCGAGTGATCGTAAACGGAATGCAAAGGACTTATTTGGTGGTGAGCAGTTGATCTGAGGCGTGACTGCGATGTTAGATAAATCATTCCATAAGCAGCGATAGTTCAATTTTATTCTGACTGACAGACAATACCTGCAGCTACAGCTTCATGATCAATGAATGCGGTCAAAACTTCAGTTAAAAATGCAATCAATGATTAACGATGGCTAATAAGAGAAATTGAATAACGCGGAACTGAATGAATATGAATCGACATTCAGTCCCTGACTTAAAATCCTGAATGATTTTCAGTTATTTGAAAAGTCACTTCAATGCGTGTGTTACCTCATCAACAACAGAAGAAACAGCCCCTGATTTTCTTGCCATACTTCTGATCATCTGTTAGAAGACGGATGACGTCTTGGAACAGATATGGAATTATTTATGAATTGAAAGTACGTTCCACACAGTTCGTTTTAATCAGAATTTTATATTCAGCTCGAATTATTCAGGCTTACATTTTACTGCATTATTTCTTGCCTAGAGCAAGTAAACGCTTCTTGAAGCAAATCCAAAATCTTTCGCATTAAAATTTAAGGATACCAAAACTTTACGACACACCTTTATAAGATGACGCGATAATAACCAGGCGGTTTATTACGACAGGCCATAATTTTGTGCGGCAATTCACATTCACCTTCTTCTGGATTAAAGAACGTACCCGCCGTGCATTTCACGAAAATTGATGTGCCGTCATAACACACAAAGTAATAGTCATTGCACTCCAACGGATTACCGTGTGGGCCGTTTTGCTGATCCGTGCAATCGAATGAGGGAACTAAACAGATCGTCCGCTGGAATTGTTGATGATCAAGCCCTATACGCACCTGTTTCCGTCGGCGACTGTTGCGTGGTCTGTGGTGTGACGGTGACGGTAACGGTAGTAGTTCGTACGTGACCTGTGCAGGCGGCGATTTTGCGGTAGATATTGCACACTCTTAGGTCGGGATCAAAGTATGTTCTTCGAGGACACTGTCGCTGCACTCCCCGTCCATCGATACATGTGTAAAATACACACGAGCAGGCTTTTTCTGGATCTGGGTAGTTGCCATTTTCCAAGTTTGTGCAGTCAACTGGTACTGCAACATATTACAAGTTTTTCTCCAACCAAAATGGTAGTAATAGAATTTACTAATAGCAAATTCATACTTGGAGTTTCCGTACTGGGTACGTCCGATATTGGAGTCGTAGCGGCGGTCGTCATAACGCTAGTTCTTCCGGAGCATGCGTAGATATCGACAAAGCTTCGACACCGTTTCAGTTCACTGTCGAAAAACAGATTTCCGGGGCAATATTGCTTGAACGTGCGACCGTTGGCGCATATGAAGTAGTAGTGTACGCACTTATATCGAGGATCGGCGTAAATTCCGTTTGGACGTTCAATGCAGGAAAATTCAGGAACTAAAATCTCGATTATGAATGGCTATTCACGAGAAAATTCCGTTACTACCGCCGGTGGTGAAGACCTGCGAAAGAGTGATAGTCATAGTCGGAGGTGGGGATCCTGTACAAGCTTCGACGTAATCGAACGTCAAGCATTCTGAAGTGGCGACGTCAAAATAGAGCTCGCCCGGGCAGAATTGTCTCCTCGTCACTCCTTCAGAGCATACATAAAACACATTTGAACATCTGTTGGCCGGATCAGAGTAACGACCGTTAGGCATCGTTGTACAATCAACCGGCAGAGCTAAAAGGAGTTAGATAAGGGAGACAGACGGGTAGAGGCGCTAAGTTATGTCACCTTCTGTAGTTGGAGCTACGGTCGGGAGTGTCGTTGTTGTTGGCGGTCGAGGAATGCCAGTGCATGCAGGAATATCTTCGTAAGTTTCGCACCTGCCATCCTCTGGGTTGAAGTACAGCTCTCCGGGGCAGCGGAATCGTCTAGCGATCGTGTTCGTACACGAGAAGAAAATGCGGTCACAGTTTTTCGTGGGATTTGGATACACCCCGTTAGCCAGGTTTGAACAATCTATGGGATATACTTCGGTAGTGGGAGGGATGACTGTGGTCGTTGGAACCGTAGTGGTAGGACTGGTGCCGGTACAGATGAAGGTTGACTCAGGAGGCTGGCACGACTCAGTTTCAGGATCAAAAATCAGGCCAAACTGGCAATTCAATTCTCTCGCCAACGATCCAGTGCAGGAATAGTAGGTACGACTACACTGATTAATCGGGTTCACGTAAAAACCGTCTTCCCTGTTCGTACAGTCGAAGTCGACGGCTAAATGAAAGGCAAACGTAGCTAATGAAGGACTCGAAAATGGTTTGCGCTTACGCGGCAGAGTTGAAGGCGTCTGAGGTATAACTGGCGTGGTCACTTCGATACCTGAGCAGGCAAAGACGTTCATGAACGAGTCACAGGTGTTGTGTCGACTGTCGTAGAATAACGCCGTCGGACACTCCCTGACGATTACCTTGCCGTTACTGCAACTAAAGAATCTATTAGAACAGTCAGGTGGTGAGCCGCTTGGGTCGGGGTAGTTGCCGTTTTCGAGGGTCGTGCAGTCTATCGGAAGTGTCTCTGAAATAATACGGGTCAGTAAGAACTGCAACATATGATAATAATTCTTAGAAAATTACGGGTTGGAGTTGTAGCAATGGTTGTCTGGCGTACGGTAGTTGGTCGTTGCTGACCGCTGCAGTTCGGAATGTACGCGTAGGCGTTGCATTCGCTAAGCGCAGGATCGAAGTACAGACCTCTGGGGCAGTACAGCTTCTCAGTGTTCCCATTTCCGCACGAATAGTAGAATATGTCACAGGAATTAGGTGCATCTGGGTTTGGGTACAAGCCGTCCGGCATATTGGAGCAGTCAAAAGCAGGAGGTGATGTGGGTGCACTGCTACGAGTGACTGTAGGAGTGGTTTGAGTAGGTCTGGTACCTGTGCAGCCTTCAGTGTTGCTCGGCGGCTGGCAGGAGTCTGTGTGCGGATCATAGACCATTGAACCGTAACAGAAGCGATTTATCGTTTCCCCGCCGACACAACTGAAATAGGCATTTTCACATTCACCAGTCGCGTAATTTCCATCGGACAACAGCGAACACCGGCCAGCTGCGAAGAAAACATTAATGACACTTAATAAATGAACACTTAAAATAACATAAACAAATAAAGCAAAAGGATAAGGCACAGGGTCAAGTTATTGCAATGATTTGGTTACCTGGCGGTTCACTCGGATTTGCTGCTGTTGGAATAGTGGCAGCAGTAGTAGTAGTAAAAACTTGGCAAGGAACGTTGGCGTTGCACTTTCGATCTTCTTTAAGATGCGGGCATTGCGCTCCAAGA